CATCTTGGTGGAGACACTTTGGGGTTTAGGAAACCAGAAAACAGGCCCTGCTGCAGGGGGGCTGCTCAAGTGTGTTTGTGCATCAAGGGGAATAAGCCCATCATGGGGTCTGTGAAGGCGACAGGGGCCTGGAACCCAGAGCACAAGTGCAGGGCTTGGTCTTCAACAGGAACAAGGACAGATTATCCATTGTAACAGAAGGAAGGCAGGGAGGGAGGAATTCATGTAGATGAATAGATTTGCAGCGGGTAGATGAGTGAGTTGCCCTCTGATCCCCTCAATGTTCAGTGAATTCTGAATGTCCAAATGAGGCTGTACTGAAAGTGAAACCGGTGGTGTGATTCTCTCTGGCCACATGGGAGGCCCAGGGTAGGGCGGCAGACCTTCCACCTCCCACCACCTGCTCGCCCCTCCTCCAGGATGAGGTTTTGCGATTTACCATTAATTCTCCCTGAAACCGGCTCTTGCGAGGACGCTACAGGTGATGACCCAGAATTCACAAGAGGTAGCTGGCCTTTCTCTCACTATAAAGGAGGAAGAAGAATCTGTTTCCTCTGACGGTGCCTCCCTGGGGTTGCATCCCCCTAAGCTTTGAAGAGACATCAAACAGGTGATTACCCCGTAATGCCCCCCGAGGGCAGCTGGGACAGATGCCAGAGGGCCCCATCCACTCATGGCAGCTTTCTAGCTCACCCTCCAAAGCTGGGCTCCAGGGAGGAAGGCGACTTGTAGCCTTCACACTGGGCTGCGATTCCAGCTCCATCCCCCTCTGTGCTCTCATCTGTGAAATGCAGATAATGATTCAGTCCTTCTAGGTGTTTGGGAGGATTAAAGAAATGATCATTTAAAGTGGGCAGAGGGGGCTTCCCTGGTGGCGCAGTGGTTGAGAGTCTGCCTGCCAATGCAGGGGACACAGGTTCGTGCCCCGGTCCGGGAGGATCTCGCATGCCGCAGAGCGGCTGGGCCTGTGAGCCATGGCTGCTGGGCCTGCGCATCCGGAGCCTGTGCTCCGCAACGGGAGAGGCCACAACAGTGAGAGGCCCACGTACTGCAAAAAAATAAATAAACAAAAAATAAATAAAGTGGGCAGAGGAAGCTCAGCAGACGGCACCTGCTGTAATTGTTATTGTTATGTGTCCTCACCCCGTTTCACAGTGAGAAAACAAGGGCTCCCGAGGGAACGGGGCGGGGGGGGGGGGGGCTCATCCCCAGAAAAGCAGCCACCCTGGTGGGAGGAGCTGGTCACCATGGCCCAAGAAGGAAATTCACACTGCAGTGGGGAGGCTGGGAGGAAATAGCATTTATGTTTATTGTGATGGCTATGCAAACTTGTACAACTCTTTAGAAGGGCAGTTGGGTAATGTTTAAAATATTAAATATTAAAACTATTTTAAATGTCATGCCTTTGACACTGCAAATCTGCTTCTAGGAATTTAGCCACTGAGACTGTTCATGGTAGCCTTATTCTCCATAGTGAAAAGTGGTAGAAGCCAGAGAATGTATTAAATAAATACAGGTGCATCCTGAGAACTTAGAGCTCCTGGCACATAATGGCTCCATCCAAACCCCGGCACTGAGACGATCAAACTCTAGCCTGGTTCTAGCAGCAGGAGGCTGTGTCCCTAGGATGACCCCAGCCCCCCATTAAAATGCCTGCCTGAGAAAGCCCAAGGCTGCCAGGAGAATTTCCCATTTGTTCCAGCCAACCCCTGACCACAGGCCCGGACCTGCCTTCCTCAGAGCATTTACGAAGAAGGGCTTACAGTTATGAACCTTGCTCGGGCCCTTTTGAGGTGTATGTGTACCTTCCACAGCTCAGGGGTGTCTTTCTCAACGACCTGAAAGCCACTCCCTTGAAATGGACTCATCAGGAAGCATAGGGCTTTTATGGAGGGTAGAATTCTGACAGGTACTTATCGGCTAGCAGACAGAGCCAGCCCAGTCTCATCTACACTGACCCACCTTTGGTGATTTTTCACTTGAGCGCCACTGCCCACACCCCTCCCTACTCCCTCATCCTCCCTTTAAAACACCAGTCACCTCTGAGGGACTTCCCTGGCGGTCCAGTGGTTAGGACGCGGCGGTCTCCCTGCCAGGGGCCCGGGTTAGATCCATGGTCGGGGAACTAAGATCCTGTAAGCCACGCAGCATGGCCAAAAAAAATAAAGGCAATAAAAAAATTTTTTTAATAAAAATGGGCACAAATCAACTATACTCTATTAAACACCGGTCACCTCTGCGCAAACCAGGACAGAACTCAGCTCTTTCCCCTGCTGTCTGTAATGACCGAATAATATCTATTTTCACCACTTTAACTAATGTTGTCTATATTTATCTTCGACCATCCATAGAATGGAATAGTACGTAAACTTTAAAGAAGGTTTTACGTGGGGACTTCCCTGGTGGTCCAGTGGTTAAGACTCTGCGCTCCCAATGCAGAGGACCCAGGAACTAGATCCTGCATGCCGCAACTAAAGATCCTGCATGCGTCAGTGAGGATCCCAAGTGCTGCAACTAAGACCCAGGGCAGCCAAATAAATAAATATTTAAAAAAAAAAAAAAAGAAGGTTCTATGTGGAGAAGCACTTAAGAGTAGTGCCTGGAACACATTAAATGTATTAACTATTATTATGGAGATTAACATTTTTTATCTGTTGGGAAAAAGAATGCATTATGGGTGTATACATATATAAAAATGTATTGAGCCACAGACTTAAGATTAGTATATTTTATGCTTTCAACTGTTCCATAAAAGTTTTAAAAAAATGGAGACTGCGGGGCTTCCGTGGTGGCGCAGTGGTTAAGAATCCGCCTGCCAATGCAGGGGACACGGGTTCCAGCCCTGGTCCAGGAAGATCCCACATGCCACGGAGCAACTAAACCCGTGTGCCACAACTACTGAGCCTGCGCTCTAGAGCCTGTGAGCCACAACTACTGAAGCCCGTGTGCCTAGAGCCCGTGCTCCGCAACAAGAGAAACCACCGCAATGAGAAGCCGGCGCACTGCAACGAAGAGTAGCCCCCGCTTGCCACAACTAGAGAAAACCTGTGCACAGCAAGGAAGACCCAGCACAGCCAAAAATAAATAAAATAAAATAATTTTTTTTAAAAATGGAGACTGTATTAAAACTATATGTTCTTACATGGAACGTTATTCAAAATATATGTTTAGATGAAACAAGCAAGTTCCAAAACAGTTTGCTTAACAGAATCATATTCTATGCATACACATATATAATATCCCCAAACAGAATATATCATATACTATATATAATGTCAGTATTTGCAAAAAGTAAATATTTCAAGAGCTTATATATTTCTGGAATATGTGCACTAATTTTACAAGTGTACATTTTACAAGTGTACATTCCTGTTCCAGGTTGCAACACTTGGAATCAGCCAGGTCCTGATGCGAGACGCTCAGGCCGTTACACTGACACGCAGTCTCCCTCCTCACCACCAGAGGGCCGCCAGGAGCATCCGCCGGATCTCACCGCCGCCTCCCAGCATATGAGAGGCCTGCCTTGAGCCTCCTCACGCTCAGGTATTTTTACATAATCGCTGGTCAGATTGTACTGTAAACTGGACACTCTGTGCTTCTTGACGCGTTCTCCCTGCATCACACATTCTGAAAGGCTTTAAATGGAAAAAACAAACATTAACTCGGTTACGTTTCTCCAGCCTAACAGTCATGGGTTCTTCAAAGCTAGAATAGGAGAAAGAATGAAAGTAATTTTTTTTTTGATTGAAGTGCAGTTGATTTACAATGTTGTGCTCGTTTCTGCTCTACAGCAAAGTGATTCGGTTATACATATACATACCTTCTTTTTTATATTCTTTTCCATTATGGTTTATCTCAGGATATTGAATACAGTTCCCTGTGCTATACAGTAGGCCCTTGTTGTTTCTCCATTCTGTATGTAATAGTTTGCATTTGCGAATCCCAAACTCCCAGTCCGTCCCTCCCCCACCCGGAAGTAATTCTTACTGAGCACCTACCACATGCTGGACTGTCCCCCTGCTGCACACAGCATCTTATCAAATTCTCACAACAATTAGGTTGGTGGCATTAATGCCCATTTTTCAGATGAGAACACTGAGATTCTGAGGGATTAAGTGATTTACCCAAGCTCACCAGCTAGTCACTGGTAGAATCTGAATCCCTGCAAGCCAGCAGGGTCCTAAGATTTTGCTTTACCCTCTATAAAGCCCCCACTTGTCTCCAAATTTATGAGTGAAGAAAATAAATCCAGGGTGTGTTGGTGGGAGACCTCAATCAGAACTCAGGTGTCCAGATACCCAGAACGTGCCCTTGCTAATGTGCCCTCTGCCTTCAAGTTTGGTAGGCGCCCGGCTGTGACCAGTGCAGAAACACGAAGGCCTGGCGTTGCTCTCTGACTTGCCATGTGGTTCAAAATTCAAAAAGAAAAATAGTAAAAAAAACCACAACTTTCCTTCCTCTCCTCTCTGCTTCTCTGCCCTACACCATCCACTCACCCAGTTCCACTCCCTTGGAGGCAAACTTGCTTGTTTTTCCAGAGATTATTTTATATGTATGCAAATCAATGTTGTAGTCGGTTTTTTCTGAATTGCAGTTCCCTGGCTACGGTATCCCCGAAAACCCAGAGACAGTGTCACCTGTATTACTATCCCCATATCTCAAAGACAAAACCTGAGCCCTTGGGAGCTGGAGTGAACTGCCCAAGGTCCCACAGCAGGACAACTGAGGGTCTGAATCTAAGGATGGCTCTGACCTGGGCAGGCCCCTGGGTCCTGCTCTTCCCAGTTTCCCTTTTGTGTTTGTGTCACTCTCTCCCGCCTCCCTTCCTTCTCTCTCCCTGCTGTAATCACTTACAAACCCTCACCTCCCTGAAGTGTTGCTAAATTCGAATGACAGGTGGGAGAACCTTAAAGGTGGAGTCCAGCCCTCACACTTTACAGATGGGCAATCTGAGGCCCAGGAAGGCTCCTGCACATGTCGGATTCTACATCCAGCCCTGGTGACCAATCCAGAGGCGCTCACGGCTTTTCCCTCAGCCCCAACCTCCCTGTATCTCCCGGAGACCATGAGCTCAGCGGGAACAGTGCCTGGGCCTGTCTTGTTCACCACTGTGTCTCCAGTGTCTGGCGCTGTGCTCCACCCCTCCACTCGCTAGTTCATAGGCTCCATCATGGTTTGATGGAAGGATGAATGAATGAACGATCCGGCAGAGGGAAGAGCCTGATCCCACCAGGGAGGTGTGCAATCAAAAGCTGTGTGCGGTGATACCAAGTGTTCCCGTGAAGTAGATTGAGGAGTGTGCGGAGAGTAATTGGGAGAAGTGAAGTTAGAATATTCTCTTCCCTCTAATAAGCATCTGAGGACATCTGTGCCAGGCCCCGTGCTGACAAAGAGCCCACAGACGAACTAAGTGGGGCCCTGTTAGTCCTGTGAGGGTTCTCAGCACCTAAGTCTGATGAGAGCCCCTCCGCCCCCACCAATCCCCAGGGGCTCCTACACAGCCTATTCTGCATGTACCTGGAAGCGGATCACAGCCTCCGGAACCCCAGTCAAGAACCACAGCTTAAGTATCCCTACTCTAGGTGGAACGAGAAAAATCAAATGAGTGCTTGGAGCGCGAGCCACGCCAAGACAGCAGTGAGGACGGAACCCAGCGCTTCGGAGACGGTTGCGGGGACAAGGCCTTAGGGCCAGGGAAGGAACAGCGATGGAAGGCCCTTGGACCCATTTTAAGAAACTTATCCTATGATCCAGAAACTGGGATCCGGGAAAACTCCCCGCGCCCAGAAGGGTCCTAATCTCCGGCTCGGAAAGATGACGCAAGCAGCGCGCGAGTACGTGCCAAAATACGACTACCCCGTCCCCGCTGGTGCATTGTGGGGGGTTAAAGGCACCAACCGAATACCGGTCTCGCGAGCGAGCGAGATTCACGCGGATGACAGAGATTGGGTGGGGAGGAAAGGCGAGGCTTCTACTCTCCGAACAAGAGTCCCGCCCCCCGGCTGGGATGGGCCAATCCCAAGGCCTCCCGCTCCTGGCCCTGCGGATTGGTCCGAGGGCTCACATGGTTAAGGGGGCCATGGGGCACTGGACCGAGCCGAGTCTCGGGCACTTGATCGAGGCGGCGACGGTGTCTTTGTACAGTGGTGAAGGGCCGGAGAGCCCTAGAGTCAGAAGCTCGCGGGCTACCGGCCGGTCTCGGCCTCCGCACGCGGCCATGGGCAAGTCGAGTTCGAACACTTGCTGAATAAAGAACCCGCCTTAAAGGTGATCTGGCCCTCAGTTCCCTCGCCTGTGACATGGGTACAGTGTTGCCGGGAGAACAGGGTTGCCTCAGGTCTAGGTGAGGCGGGGTGAGTGGAATGCCTGCCAAGTAAGAAGCGGGGCGAAGTCCTGGCTGGACGCAGCGGCCCGGGGAAACGGGCACCCTGTTCATCTGCCCAGAAAGCTGGCCGTGGATCACGTGTTGAGCCGAGCAGCGCCCCCTGTCCTCGAATGGCTTCAGGGACCAGTCGTAGACAGTGGGTATGTGGCGGGCCTGCACCCTCTAGGTGCGAACCACTTGACTTTGTTGTCTTAACTAGATCTTTCCAACAGCGGTGCGGGGTCAGTGTCGTAGATGGGGAGACTTTGCCGAGGCCGCACAGCCTGGAGTGAAGGAGCCAGGGTTGGACCCAGGCATCAACCTGCTCAACCCGCAGGCCTTCCAGCAGTGGCTCCTGCACCCCGAGGGGGCCTGTGCAGCGCCTCCAGAAGGGACTCGGCCCTCGTCCGTGAGACCCACCTGTCACTCGTGTCCCCTCTGCTTCCATCATCAGCCTCAGTGTCTGGAAAACCTTTACAGGCCTGCGGTGTTCTGGGAGCATAATTAGGATGCTGGAGCCACGGCCCAGAGTTGCAAGTTTCACTGTGCAGGATGGGGCCTGCCCCTGAGCAGTCTAGGCACGGCCACATCGGGATCCTTTTCCCCAGAACCAAAGGCACCCACCGCCCTTTAGGATGTCTAGCCCTCAAGAGGAGGGGCTTTCTGACACATGAGGTCATCACAACGGACCCTGCTTCACTTTCAGTTATTAGACTATATTAAGAAAAAGAAAAGAGACTTCCCTGACAGTCCAGTGATTAAGACTCCGAGCTTCCACTGCAGGGGCACAGGTTCGATCCCTGGTTGGGGAACGAAGATCTCGCATGCCCCGCAACGTGTCAATCAATCAATCAGTTTTAGATTTACTGAAAAGTTAAGAGTAGGGAGTGCCCTTATTACAGCCTCCCACATACACACATAGACGGGCACACACCCCATTTCCTTTATTGGTAACATCTTGCATTAGTTGTACATTTGCTACAATTGATGAGATGATATTGATACATTATTATTAACTAGAGTCCATAGTTTGTTCAGAGTTTCTTAGTTTTTCCCCAGTGTGTTTCTTCTGTGTCAGGATCCCATCAAGGATACTGTGTCACATGTAATTGTCCACCTCACTTCTCATTCTGAAGGTGCAGTATTGAGAGAGGTTAAAGAAGCACGTAATTGCTTAACTTGTTCTTGGCTTTAAGTCTGAGAAAATGCTAGGGAAGAGGCTGCTGCTGGGGGCTGCGTTTTGGTGTTGTGTCTGGCGGGTGCCAGCCAAGTGGGGCACTGGGTCCTGGGGGAGGGCGGGGCCCTGAGGAGGGGCTTCCCTCCAGAGCGACCCTTCTCAGAGCGGCCCCTCGGGTTGGGGTGATGGGAAGTTATGTTTAGAGGATTGAAAATTTCTGTTTGGGGTGATGAAAACGTTCTAGACATGGATAGTGGTGACGGTTACACAAATTTGCTTAATACCACTGATTGTACACTTCACAATGCTTAAGTTTTGGGCTTCCCTGGTGGCGCAGTGGTTGGGAGCCCGCCTGCCGATGCGGGGGACGCGGGTTCATGCCCCGGTCCGGGAGGATCCCACATGCCGCGGAGCGGCTGGGCCCGTGAGCCATGGCCGCTGAGCCTGTGCGTCCGAAGCCTGTGCTCCGCAGTGGGAGAGACCACAACAGTGAGAGGCCCGCGTACCGCAAAAAAAAAAAGAGCTTCCTGTGAGTGGCTAGCTGTGCTGGCCACTTTGTCTCATGTATTCCTCTCATAGCTCCAGGGGCAGTTGCACTCATTAGCCTCATTTAAATAAGGAGAACTTGGCACAGAGAGGTTAAGAGACTCACCCAAGGTCACACAGCTGGTAGTGGCAGCGCCAGGATCCTACCAGAACCAGGACTTTCTCACCACCCACTGCCGTGCCAGCCAAGCATTCCAAACCCCTCCAAAGCCAGCTTAGTAGCAGGAGAAAGGTGTCCCTCAACAGGCCTCCAAGTGAGGCTGGTGGGTGACTGCGGAATCCTCTGTCTGGTCAAAGTGAGGACTAATTAACTATTGGTGGGAAGCGCTGGTTGCCTGCTTTTTCAAAAAGCTGCAGTGGTGACCCTTGGTTATTAAACACATGGGTCTGTGTTCTGCAGCAGTGTTCTCCAGGTATCACCTGTAAATCTCCAGCCCCACACTGGCTGGGTTTTGACGTTGCACCAAAAGAATTCCATAGCCAAGGAATTTAAGAAACTACACCTCCCCTGCCCCGCAGAGACTCACAAGGCCTTCTAGAGGCTCTGAAAAGTCCTGTCCAGAAGAAACTCGTTAAGCTTTGTCTAACATAGTGATTCCCAACCTTATTTGACCCCAGAGGCCCATTTTCAATGCACGACAAGCCCCCAGGCTCCAGGTTGCCGTGCACAGCTGCCCGGGCGATACTGGGAAACGTGCTGCTTCTAAGCAAGGGGTCTCACATCTTCACTTCGTGGAAGAGGAGCAGACGTGCAAGGAGGTTAAATGGCTTAACCACGGCCCCTCCTTGCTCAACTTAGAAAGTAAATATGAAATTGTTTAGGTTACAGAAACAGCAGTTGTCAAACTCACAAGAAGGCTGACTGGCAGTGCAGGGGGATTCCAGCATCTACTGGGATCAGGGAAATAGTACATGTTTTCTGATGAAACCCTTTAGATCCTACCACTTTCAGGGCAAAATGGGGGTTTTGTCTTGTCAATAAAATCATGGAAGTGTACCCCCTCTGCCCCCATGGTGAAAAGGGATCATTGCACTGAGGTTCAGCAAAGTCCCAACCTAGCAGGACACTGCCCTGTGCTTTACACCTCACCAGATAGGGAATTCCACTGAAAATGTGGGAGCACCCCATCAAACGTTTCCATCCTTTGGAGTAAAGAAGGAGATTCTTTCTTCAAAGTGAACACTCAGATGCTTAACCCTGTGAGCAGAGTTTTGGATGGCTATGCAGTTGCTCCAGGCCAGTGATCACTGTTTTACAGATGGAAAGTGGAGGTGGGCGCCAGGGGACACTTGGGAGAGGGAGGGAGCGTCGGCAGCGCCCCTGTGCTCAGTGCCACAGTGGAGACTGGAAAAAAGACAGTCCACGCGCTCCTGGTGGTTAGAAGCCTCTAGACACAAGCAGTCTCTGAGTCTGAACTCCTCCTCTGCCTCTTGCTACCTGTGAGACCTTAAGCAGGTTACTTCTGCCTTCGGCTCTATTACCCCGTCTTCAAACTGCGGTGATAATAAGCTACCTTGTTAACATTGTGGGTGTCGGATAAAGCCGTTAGATCGGGCCAGCTCGTGGCGGTAGCACAGCCGTGATTATCGCAAGCATGACTCTCCGGCCACAAACGTGTGTGCAGGAAGTTCCACTGGCTCCGTTTTCTATACCAGCCTAATTTCTGACCCCAGTTCCCATTCCACGATTCCACGGGCTGGCGCATCACAGAAGTCAGTTCCAGAGTTCTGCCCCTTCCTAAGTCAGGACTCCCACAGGGACAGGGCCTGGGGAGGGGAGAGTGGGGACCTGTTGGCCACTCATCATTTATCCACACCGGTACTGCAGGCTCCGGGTCCCATGCCGCAATGCTGTCCCCAGCCTCGAGGACCACTTTGGCCAGCCTGCCTGGGGTCCTACCACCTGGGTGCACAGCCTGCATTGCTCTCTGGGGGCTGGTGGGCAGCAGGCCCGGGACCTTGTCACCTGCCTTCCCACTGCAGCCCAGGGAATCTTCCCATGGCCCAGGATACCTCATCGCCCCCTACTTCTCCAGGACACTTTGCCCACAAGGGAGACTCCAGTTCTTCTTTCCTTTTCCTTACATCCTTGTTTTCCTAGGGGCTAGGACTTCTGGGAAAAATCAAAGTCTGAAAGACCCACAGACACCTTCTGCTTTTAATCCTACGGCAAGGGACCCAGGCCAGCTCCTGCTTGCAGGGGGAGAAGGCGCAGGAAGACAGAGGGAAAGTGGCAGTGTAGGTGGTCCCTACTTTGCACAGTTCCGATGTGCACAGATTTTAATTACTGTGGTCTAGTTAAATAACGCCAAATATCAGTTATAGTTAATATAGATAATATTATATAGTTATAATATAACTATATAATATTGTAAATATTAATAATATATATAATTATTTATTATATATATTATTTATATAATAATTATATATTATATAATGATATATATAATATATTATAATAATATATAATAAAACTAATATTATATATAGTATATATTATAATTATAATAAAACTAATATATATTATAATTATAATATAAGTATAATTATATTATAATTATATTATAATTATATATAATAATTATAATATAATATAATAAAACTAATATATTATATAGTTATAATATAACTATATAATATTATAAATATTAATATATAATATATTATTTATTTTATATATTATTTATATAATAATTATATATATAATATATTATAATAATATATAATAAAACTAATAGAATATAGTTAATAATATAGTCAAATATCAGTTACCTCGATGCGTTAACGTGAGTAACTGCGTCAAGTACTAACTGTGCTCCAAGCTATTCAGTCTGCAAATCACCAGCAGGTGCGCCTCAGACCCACAACCCATCATGGCGCTACTTTCAAAGTCGGTCAGGGCTTCCCTGGTGGCACAGTGGTTAAGAATCCGCTTGCCAATGTAGGGGCATGGGTTCAAGCCCTGGTCTAGGAAGATCCCACATGCCGCGGAGCAACTAAGCCTGTGCGCCACAGCTGATGAGCCTGCGCTCTGGAGCCCGTGAGCCGCAACTACTGAGCTGGCAAGCCACAACTACTGAAGCCCACGAGCCTAGAGCCCGTGCTCTGCAACAAGAGAAGCCACTGCAATGAGAAGCCCACGCACCACAGTAAAGAGTAGGCCCCCACTTGCCTACTCTATTTGCCTACTCGCAACTACAGAAAGCCTGCACACAACAACGAAGACCCAAAACGGCCAAAAAATTAAAAAATAAATAAATAAAAATTTAAAAAATAAAAGTTGTTGGTCACCACACACCTGCTACTCAGTTCCTACACAGCCAGCAAAGTGTGTAGTTGTGTTGCCTTCTGTGATAAACCCACTTAATGTCTTACAAAAATGCATCATTGACACAGGGAATTGGCCAAAAGGTGGAAGTGCAGGAAGGGTGCCAAAAACACTAATAAAGCTGGCAGTGCAACTGGAGTGAAGGGTGACGGTCCTAGAAGGAAAGGAGGACAGGGGAGGGTTGGGGTGCAGGCTCTGCCGCTGCTCCAGGACTGGAGGTGTGTGGCTGAGGGACCTGGGGAGGGACAAGAAGGAGGAAGATGCCGAGGAAGTGGTGCTGGCAAAAACCTTCGCAGTAAAGGAACTCAGAGACGTGTCGAATCACTCAACCTGCAAAGGTCACGTTGGAGGCTGGTCCAGACCTAGAAAAGACGATGACGGTTCACCATGGCAGAGAAGAGATGCTCATTCCATAACCTAAGTTATACAATGAGAAGAAGGCAAGCACTGCCCAAACTACTCCTGATCAGTTTTTTTCCTTAAAATTGTGGTTAAATACATGTACTACAAAATCTGCCACCCCGTCCACTTCCAAGTGTACAGTTCTGTGGTATTGAGTACACTCACACTGTTGTAAAGATTCAGAGCACTTCATGAATTTGTGTCCCCCTTGTGCAGGATCATGCTCACCTTCTCTGTATCCTTCCAATTTTTAAAAAATAAATTTATTTATTTTTGGCTGCATTGGGTCTTCGTTGCTGCGCACAGGCTTTCTCTAGTTGCGCCAAGTGGGGGCTACTCTTCGTTGTGGTGCGCAGGCTTCTCGTTGCGGTGGCTTCTCTTGTTGCAGAACACGGGCTCTAGGTGCACGGGCTTCGGTACTTGTGGCTCACAGGCTCTAGAGCACAGGCTCAGTAGTTGTAGCACGTGGGCTCAGTAGTTGTGGCTCTTGGGCTCTAGAGTGCCCAACAGACAGTGCTCCAGATAGAAGCTGTCCCATCTGCCCGGGTCTCAGAATAAGAGCACATGCAGCAAAGTCACAGCCAACCCCGGATAGACATGGAGCTGGGGCAAGAAATGTTCTAGCCACTGAGGTTTGACTGTCATTTGTCCCTGCAGTATAACCCAGCCTCTCATGATTGATACAGTTACCCTTACTTTCCCTGAGGTTGTGTGTTGGAGTTTGCGCTACTGGGTTCTGTGACTACAAGTGCAGAGATCACTTCAAAAACCTTCCCCCGGGTTCTCTAAAAAAAAACTAAAAATAGAGCTACCATATGATCCAGCAATCCCACTCCTGGGCATATATCCAGAGAAAAACATACTTTGAAAAGATACATGCACCCCCTATGTTCATAGCAGCACTATTCACAATAGCCAAAACATGGAAGCAACCTAAATGTCCATCAACAGGTGAATAGGTAAAGAAGATGTGGTACATATATACAATGGGATACTACTCAGCCATAAAAAAGAATGAAAT